CCCAGGCGCAACGTAACGAGCAAGGATGTAAGAGGGTACGCGAGGTCCAGTCGCGTGCAAGTCATCAGGTACATGAGGCAGCCTACAAGCTCTGGGTAGGGCCCACTCGGCTCTACAGACTCGTCCGAAGGTGGAGCTGAGAGCGAGTGGCTGGTAGCCAGAGGTGTGGCCTGTGGTGAGGAGAACTGGAAGCCGAAGCGCTGAAGGACCTGCTGCACCATGTGTGACTGAGTCAGGGTGATGGTGCGGCGAGCTCTGTCCCGGGTGATCTGCAAGCCAAGGTAGCTACGCAGTTCACCCAGGTCAGTGCAGGTGTGTCTCTTCTGCAGCTCCGACTTCACACGAGCGAGTGCCTCAGTGTCAGTAGTAGCAAAGACCAAGTCGTCGACGTACACGAGAATGTAGAACGGCGGCAGCGACGTGTCTGTGCGCAGAAACAGTGACGGGTCAGCAGTAGACGGCGCGAACCCAAGAGCCGCAAGAGTAGTCCTCAGTGTGTCGTGCCACTCACGTGGCGCCTGGCGGAGACCGTAGACTGGCCGGCGGAGACTCCACTGGGTACCAGGGGGAAACGACCCAGTAAAGCCAGGTGGGCGGCGCAGCCAGATCTCCTCGTGCAGGCTGCCCTGCAGGAACGCTGTGCTGAAGTCAAGAGAGTGAAGCTCGTAGTCACGCTGAGCAGCAACGTGCAGCAGAACCCGAAGAGTGGTCATCTTCGGGGTGGGGGAGAAGGTCTGGAAGAAGTCGACCCCCTGACGCTGACTGAAGCCTCTAGCAACGTAACGAGCCTTGAAGACAGGCGGAGAACCTGGCGGCCGCTTCACCCTGAAAATCCACATGCCATCGACGATGTTCGCCCCAGGAGGGGGAACCTCGTCGACGTAGGTGCCTGTGGACTTCCAGGATGCCATCTCGGCGTCCATGGCCGTCTGCCACTGAGAGGAGTAGGGACCCGCCATCGCCTCAGCGTAAGTGCGTGGGGTCGGGATGTCTGGTGCATCCGGGTCTCCCTCAGGGGCAAGCAACCAGGCCACGAGATGAGGTACAGCAGCCGCAAGAGAGTCAAAGTCCTCCTGCCTGTCCTCAAGGACGTCCGTGCCAAGAGCACACTCACCCCCGACGGACGGAGGACAGACAGACGCAGACTCAGACTCAGCAAACAAGGCTAGCAGCGTAGTCTAGACGACAGGCAGCAGCAAAGTCAACCAACTCAGCGACCAGAGCAGACGCAGCCGAGGACTCAAAGGTAGGGTCAGTGACAACAGTAGCGAGGAGACGCGTGACTGTAGGGTGCTCAGCGCGATACCGGTCAGACTCAGGGTCCGGAACGGCAGGCAAAGAGGACGCAGGAGGAGACGGTAGAGGGACACGCCGAGGAGCAGTAGAGGGACGTAGAGTCATGTAGTGAGTGCCTGGGACAGGAGGAGGACGCTCACGACGGACACGACTACCAGTGCGAGCAGGACGAACAGGCGACGCAGGACGAGACTCAGGCTCACGACGCTCTGTAAGACCTCCTGTGGGACCAGTATAAGGAGAGGGAGCAGGGAGAGGCGAGGCAGGCGGTAACTGTGACTGCGGCTGGACAGGCGGAGGACACTCTACGGAGGGAGGAGGACAAGGAGGAGGAGCCTGCCCAAGAACCTGCTGAAGGAGCGGTACGAAGTACGGTCGCGGCCGCGCAGCGTCTCCAGAAGCAGAAGGGACTCCAGCGGCCGGGTCCTCAGCACCAGCAGGAGCTCCAGCGTCCGGGTCCACAGCACCAGCAGCAGCTCCACCGGCCGGGTCCCCAGCTCCAGCAGCAGCTCCACCGTCCGACTCCTCAGCACCAGCAGCAGCTCCACCAGGTGGGTCCGCAGCACCAGCAGCAGCGCCACCCCCAGAGTCGGCAGCTCCAACTCCGCTAGCACCGCCAGCGCCAGAGTCCCCAGCTCCAGCAGCTCCAGTCGCAGTGCTCCCAGAACAGCCAGTCCCGGCAGCTCCAGTACCCCCAGTACGAGCACCCCCAGGACGAGTAGCTCCAGCACCCCAAACTCCAGCCGAGCCACTAGGACGGCGAAAGCGTCGGACGTACCAGTCACGAAGCTGCTGCGGTGTGAGAGACTGCTCAGCACCCCGAACCGGAGCACCCCCAGACACAGTAACCCGAGGCTCCGTAGGCTCAGTAGCAGCACCCCCAGGCTCAGTACCCGCAGGCTCAGTACCCGCAGGCTCAGCACCCCCAGGCTCAGCACCCCCAGACTCGCACCCGCAGGCTCAGCACCCCTAGGCGCAGCACCCCCAGGCTCCGTACTCTCAGGCACCGTACCCTCAGCTCCAGCACCCTCAGTCCCAGCACCTGCAGCCCCAGCACCCCCAGGCCCAGCACCCCCAGGCTCAGCACCCCCAGGCTCAGCACTCCCAGCAGCACCACCCGCAGCAGCACCTGAGTCACCTGTGACCTCGACAGGCTCAGCGACGGGAGGAGGGTCTACCTGAGAGACACCTGAAGGAGCAGGACCCTGAGGGGGGAGGGGGTCTACCGGAGGGGGACCAGGAGCAAGGAAAAGTGGCGGGGGAGGGAGGGGGGCAGTGCGGTAGGGGAAGAGACGGTAAAAGGGGACCGACTCGTCAAAGGTGACATCCTGAGAGGCGAAGACCCGGCGCGAGGTGGGGTGGTAAAACTGCCAGCCAGGCGCGTCAGGGACAAAGCCAAGGAAGACACAGGGAAGCGTGCGGGAGGAGAGCTTGTCCGCGGACGTATCGCGGACAAGGCACGACGAGCACCCCACACCCGGAAGCGCGACGCATCGCCAACCTCCCCCGTCCAACGCAGTGTGGGCGAGGTCTCCGGCAAGGAGACACGGGGCCAGAGGTTGAGCTGATGCGCGGCGTACCGGACAGCAAACGGCCACAGAAAATGGGGAGCCGCCGCGTGGACCAAGGAGGTACGAGCGATCTCCATGACCAGGCCAATGCGGCGCTCAGCAACCCCATTCTGCTGCGGGGAGTCCGGAAGCGTGAAGGTCTGCTCGATGCCCTCTGCCTGACAGAAGGTCCTCAGGAGATCGGAGGAAAACTCACCACCTCTGTCAGAGTGCAGACGCAGGACAGGAAGATCCGTCCGGAAACGGCGGCGGAGCTGGAGACGAACCGAGCGGATCCAAGGGATCAGAACAGCAGGGACCTCACCCTTGGTGCGCAAGGGGAAGACCGTGGTGTAACGCGAGTAGTCGTCGACAACCAGCAGAAAGTACCGCTCACCGCCCTGACCACGAACGCGGGCTGGGCCCCACACGTCCAGGTGGAGGGTCTCCAGAGGAGCCTCTGTCGGGGGGAACGAGGAGGAGTGAGGAGCGGCGCGCTGCCGCCCCTCGACGCAAGGAAGGCAAGGCGGCGCAGGCGAGGCAGGGAGGGGAGGGAGGGACCTGGGAAGACCGGACACAAGGAGGCGACGGTGCATGCCACGAAGGCGTGGCAAGGAGGGGTGACCCAGGCGGTGGTGCCAGAGAAGAGTCTGGTGCGACAAGGAACGACACTCACAGGCGTGGGCCACCAGACCTGACTCAGACACCTGACCGACAGCAGCTACCTGGGGAGACGCAGTGGTCAGTGTGTAGAGACTCGACCCCGGCCGACGGGTGAACGTGGCCAGGTGACGGCCGGTCCTGGAGCACGTGCAGATCGCCACACGCTGTCCGCCAGGGGTAAAGGTGTCAACCCACTGATCCTGGAGGACAGCGTTGCTCACCAGGTTCGTCGAGAACGAGGGGAGGTGGAAACCCGACAACGAGCCAGACGGAACCGCCGGACAAGGGAGGACAGTGGTAGACTGGGCAAGGACTGGGCCCCCAGAGGGGTCAGCCAAGGAGACTGGGACCGGTGCAGGAAGTGGTGTGAGCTCAGTACTGTCACGAAAGAAGCAACGGGAAGCACCTGAGTCAAGGGTGAAGGTGTGACAGGCCTCAGCCGGTGCGGTACCTGAGAGAGCAGTCTCTGTGGGTGCTGTACCTGAGAGAGCAGACTCGAAACCAGCCGGGACAGCACTGGAGGGAGCAAGTACAGGGGGCACCATACCAGAGAGAGCAGACTCACTAGTACCCAGGGCAGCGGGCTCTATACCTGGGTCAGGCGGCACACACAAGTAACAGTCTCCCTCGGCACTAACAGTCAATGCATACATGGCAGCAATAATAGCATCATAGTCAAGAGCAAAGACATCAACACCAGCCCTCATGAGCTCAGCCCAGCGGGGGCGCTCAACATCCGCACCCATCTCCTCACGCCAAGCGTCGTCAAGGCGGGAGAAGCAGCGGTACGGGGTGTGGAACCTCCCACACGTCTGTCCCTTGCGGTCACCTGTGCGAATGACATAAGAACAGCGGGCACTGGCCCCCGACGTCCCACGCTGAGCAAGCCACTCACGAAGCTGCTGGGTCGTCTGGGGACGCTGCTGCTGCTGGGAGCTCTGGCCAGAGCCAGTGCCTCCACTCCGACCTCCGCCGCCACCACTACCACCGCTCCGACCGCCACCGCCACCACCGCCACCACCGCCACCGCCGCCGCCGCCACTACTGCCACTGCTCCCTCCGCCGCCCCCGTCTCCACCACCGACCCCACTCCCACCAGCGCTCCCGCCACCGCTCCCTCCAGCACCGCCTCCCCCCCCACCTCCCCCACCTCCTCCCCCACCAGCGCCACCACCACCACTTTTGCCCCCCTTGCCCTTGCCGGTGCGGCGCCTCCCACCAGGAGTAGAAGCAGCGCCAACAGACTCAGCACCAAGGAAGTCAACAGCAGCAGCAGCAGCGTAGGAGGGAGCGAGGGGAGAGGGAGAACACCCCTCAAAGATGGGGGTGCGAGGAGCGCCACGAGCAGCACCGACAGCTACAATGCTCTTTTCGGCCGCGAGCAGGTGCTCCTCTAGGAGGGCGACTGTGAGCTCAGTGGGACAGCGAGCAAGGAAGTGGTCTCGAACTGAGCGTAGGGTGTCAGGGAGACGGGTGACTATGAAGTGGAGTGTCCAGTACAGTGGGGGGGGGTTCTTAGCGCAGAACTCGGTGGGAAGGGCGGCACGCAGGCGAGCATCACTAGTGCGAAGGTGGGTGATAAGATCGGCGACTGTAGTAAAGGTGGACAGATCGGGGAACAGGTACGGCAGCATGAGGCGGCTAAGCTCGGCTGTGGCAGGCGAGGAGTAGCGAGCGACGACAGCGTCGTAGAGGGCCTTAGCGGATTTGCAGTCGCCAAAATGCTCTAGCTCAGCTAACGGCAGGTGACTGCGAATGGCTAGGCGAGCAGCTGCGTCACGAGTCTGCCAGTGGGAACGAACACTAAGCTCAGCTGTGGCAGGAGGGGCAGGCGCAGCACCAGACGCGTAGTCATAGAGCGACACATGCTCCTTGCTATCGCTCAGGAGAAACAGCTGCAGGTCATCTAGCCAAGCGGTGAAACGCACAGGGCGGCCCTCAGCATCGAACGACAGCACGCGAATGGAAGCCATAGCGACAGTGTGACAGAGTAACGCAAGCTGCCGCAGCAGGGGAAGACGACTGTGCACGGATAGAGAGCAGCGGGCGAGGCTGGCGCTACGGGCAGGTGGCGCTGCAAGCGGTCAGTGCGACGGGAGGGCGACGCTGCGAGCGGGCAGCGCGGCGGACGGGCCGGGAAGCGGGCAGCGCGGCGGGCAGGCGGCGCTGCAAGCGGGCAGCACGGTGGGCGGGCGACGCTGCGAGGCGGGCGGGCCGCAAAGCGGGCAGCGGGCGGGCGGGCGGGCTGCGAAGCGGGCAGCGGGTCGAGCGGGCCGCGAAGTGGGCAGCGAGCGGGCGGGCGGGCTGCGAAGTGGGCGGGCCGCGAAGCGGGCAGCGGGGCGAGCGGGCTGCGAGGCGGGCGGGCCGCGAAGCGGGCAGCGAGCGGGCGGGCGGGCTGCGAAGTGGCGGGCCGCGAAGCGGGCAGCGAGCGAGCGGGCTGCGAAGCGGGCGGGCCGCGAAGCGGGCAGCGAGCGAGCGGGCTGCGAAGCGGGCGGGCCGCGAAGCGGGCAGCGAGCGGGCGGGCGGGCTGCGTAGCGAGCGGGCCGCGAAGCGGGCAGCGAGCGGGCGGGCGGGCTGCGAGCGGGCGGCTCGGCGAGGGGCGCGCGAGGGCGCTAGTGAGGGGCGCGCGAGGGCGCTAGTGAGGGGCGCGCGAGGGCGCTAGCAAGGGGCGCGCGAGGGCGCTAGCAAAGGGGCGCGCGAGGGCGCTAACGAAGGGGCGCGCGAGGGCGCTGACGTGAGTGCGCGCGAGGGCGCTAACGAGGGTGCGCGCGAGGGCGCTAACGAGGGCGCACGAGGGCGCTACGAGGCTAGGGAACGGGGTAGCGTGGTAACCGCATGCGAGCGGTGGTGGGCCCTAAAAAAAAACGATCGGTAGGTCCTAGGGACCTCCTGCTCTGAATACCATGTCAGAATCACTAGGCAAGAATGATGAACTAGCAGAAGTTTTGGGTACAAATATGAAACCCTAGTTGGGGTTGTACCCATATTGGCTACCCCACTACAGCCTACAAGCATACTACAGTTTAACAAAATGTTCTTCCGGCTCCCATGAGTTGTGTTCAGGCCCATAGCCTTTCCACTTAATGAGGAACTCTCGTACAGTTTTGCGGCCGCGTTGTCGATCACGGTGCAAAAGCACTCGTTCGACTTCATAGTACAGTTCCTCCCCTAGGACGATTGTTGGTGGTGGCAAGTACTTGCCTTCTGCAACGTACTTGCTTAACAGAGACACATGGAAGACATTGTGAATCTGCAGGGTATCAGGTAGCTTGAGCTTGTAAGCTACCGCACCAACTCGTTGCATCACCTCGAAGGGCCCAATCCAGCGAGGGAACAACTTTCTCGCACCAGGGACCTAAAGCCGAATATTTTTCGTGCTTAATAAAACTTTGTCTCCAACGGAGAATGATACTTCCCGGCGTTTCATGTCGGCATAGGATTTTTGCCTTTGTTGGGCTAATTGCAGCCAACGACGTGCCGACTTTAGGGCCTCTCGTTGCTTGCCCACAAAATCCTTTGCGGCAGGTAATTTCAAACCGCCGATCCCATGCGTAGCAGGTGTTGTGGGATGCCGACCACAGTTCAGGATAAATGGTTTTTCATGTGTGCTATCATGCACTGAGTTGTTAACCGCAAACTCGACCATGGGTAACAACTCGTCCCAATCGTCCTGAGTTGGGCTTATGAAAGAACGAAGCATCTGCTCGAGAGTGCGGTTTGTCCGTTCCGTTTGCCCATCTGTCTGGGGATGGAACGCTGACAACATTTTAAGCTTCGTTCCTAGTGTCTCGGTTACTTCACGCCAGAATCGGCTCGTGAAGCGCGGGTCGCGATCAGACACTAATACACGTGGCAATCCGTGTAGGCGGAACACATGTGTCACGAACAACCGAGCCGTATCCTCTGCTGATACGTCCGTTGTCGTGGGTACAAAGTGCACCATTTTTGTAAGGCGATCTACGAAGACGAGTATCGCCGTATACCCATCACGGGTTCTTGGGAGGTCGGTGATGAAATCCAGTGAAACGCTTTCCCAAGGTTCACTCGGAATTTCAAGTGGTTGAAGCAAACCACCAGGCTTCTGTGTGTCCGGTTTGTTACGTGCGCACGTGTCACAACGTGCCACAAACTGTTGGACATCACTACCGACTCCAGGCCACCAATATACATCGCGTAAGGCCCACCGGGTCTTATTCATGCCCAGATGTCCCCCGTATTTAGTGGCGTGCACCTCTTCCAAAATATCGTTCCGTAGATTGCCTACATGAGGTACCGCAATCTCTTTTGTTCGCCACCAAAGATCGTGTTCCCAAGTCAAATGCTTAGTGTTTTGTGGGTTCTGGAACCAGGAATCGATATGATATCCTGTATGAATTCGTTTCAGAAAACCACTGAACGCGATCTCGCTCACTTTCGCCGTAGCTAGTATACTAAAACAGGCAGCAAAAACAGCCGCATGTTCGGTATCGTCAAGCCCAGTTGCTGCCCCTATCGGCTGTCTGCTGAGGGGGTCAGCCAGGTTCGTCGAACCCGCACGATAACGAATGTCGAAACTGAACCCACTGAGGAGTTCAGCCCAACGGGCCTGACGGCGAGTGAGGGTAGCTTGGGTAGAAAAATATGTGTTCGGACAATGGTCAGTGGTGACCACGAACTCTACCCCTTCCAAATAACATCGCCATGTTCTTAGCGCATGCACGACAGCCAACAATTCCTGTTCGGTAGTCGTGTAGCGTTGCTCTGCCGGGGAGAGTTTTCTACTCTCGAATGCCACAGGGCGTCCATCTTGCAGGAGTACTGCTCCAAGTCCCACGGTTGAGGCGTTCGTAACCACCTCATATGGTTTCTGTGGGTTTGGCAACACCAAAACTGGTGCATTAGTTAATTTATGTTTGACCTCTTCAAAGGCCTTTTGGCACTGTGGGGTCCACTCCCACGCACACCCTTTCCGGGTCAATGCCGTGAGGGGAGCGACTATCGTGGAATAATTTTCCAAGAAGCGACGAAAATAATTCGCCAGGCCCAGGAATGATCGAACTTGGCCAACGTCGCGTGGGACGGGCCACTCCTGGACAGCTGCTACCTTCTTGGGGTCCACTTTCAACCCGTTATGCCCCACCACGTGCCCCAAATACTCTAGCTCACGCTTGTAAAAATGGCATTTCCACAAACGCGCGTAGTATTTGTGCTCGCGTAATTTTCCGAGGACCCATTTCAAATGTTCCGTATGCTCGTCTTCGGTTTTCGAGTATACCAGGATATCATCGAGGTACACCAAGACGAACTGGCCAATCGCATCGCGGAACACATCGTTCATCGCCCTCTGGAAAGAGGCCGGAGCGTTGGTCAAGCCAAAACTTAACACACGCCACTGAAAATGGCCGAACGGCGAACGGAAAGCCGTCTTTGGAACATTGTCCTCTGTTATACGCAGTTGGTGATAGCCTTGCGCCAAATCCAATGCACTGAACCATTGCGCACCCTGTAGTCGATCAAATAAATCTTCTATCCGCGGAAGTGGATATCTGTTTTTGATCGTAATTTTATTCAGGGCTCGATAATCGACGCACATGCGCAGTCCACCCCCCTTCTTGTGAACGAACAAGATAGGTGCTCCGTATGGGGACGCGCTAGGTTCTATCCATCCCTTCCTGAGGTATTCCTCAATTTGTTGCTTAGCCTCCTCGTACTCAGCTGGACTGAGGCGATACAGAGGTCTAAATGGTGGTGCCTTTCCTGGTTCCACCGGGATGGTATGGCCGACTGCACGGTCGGGAGGTAACCCGTCCGGAATTGGCTCAAAAACCTCAGAATATTCCTCTGCCAAAGCCTTCATTTGAGGTGGAAAATCCTCAATAATTTGTGAAGTTGTTGGTTCAGAGTCTAGCTGTACCACAAAAAGTGTATCAGCTCACTTGACATGCTCTTTGAATTGTAGAGCCGACGCAAAGCGTACGTCAAGAGCTAATGTTTGAGGTTTGTCGTCCAGTGCTTGGCGCTTTGGGACTTGCCATTGAAACGTCGTCCCATTCTTTGTGAATGAAAGCGTGTTATCTTGGAAATTTAAGATCACCTCATTAGGCCGTAGCCAATCCATTCCCAAGACAATGTCTACGCCTGCTAGGAGGGGTAAGACAAAAGCGCTGATGGTCTCCTGATATCCTTGGATATCTAGGTTGACCAAGGCATGTCCTCTGCATGGGATGACCCTGTCATCACCCAGGCGAATAGAACAAGATGGTCCTTGAACAGGAACGTTCAAATATTCCATCCACTTCTCATCAATCTATCAACCAGGATCGAGGCACTGCGCCCGTTTACACGACCAGAAAACAAAAGATTTTGCTGATGTTTAGGTCGAATAGGACATGCCGTGATGTCAGTGGGAGGCAAATAATATGCCTTAATGCCGTGCTTGCTACATACAAAAGAACGAGCTTGTGTCCACCACACGTGGTGTCCTTTATCCCACTGCGCTAACATGCTCCATCCTTGAAGCGCTCGAAATAATTTACCTCGAACTGTGCGCGTTACCATTCCAACCGCAGTTAGAGGGTGCGCTTGGGTGCAACGACCCACCACATCCATTATCCAAGGCAAATTGTGGTGATCACAAAAGATAATTGAGAATTTATCTCGTAATGATTCAACTGTGATACTTTCCAGTGGGTGAAATCGAGAGGCAAACGAAGAACTTTCATTAAAAGAAAATGCATACACACATGCAATTTTGCAATCAACAAGGCATTCGAGTTTCAACAACTCCTCATCCCGCAGGACTACAGCCTCAACCTCTCAATCTGCTATGCCCGCTAGGTACCCACCCCCTAGTTGGGCTTTGCAAAATCCCGCTGGCTGCCCGAGGGGCCACTGCCGTCATTGCGCCTGTTGTCCGTCTTAGGCTGGCCACAGTACTTCACCGCCTTGCGGTGGCGGCACTCATAGCCCTTGTGTCCAGGCTTGCCGCACTTGA